GGGCAACAGCCTCGAACCCGTGAATCACTTCAAGACTTCAAGACTTCAACTGAACTGAACGTCTTGGAACTGAACTGAACTGAATGCAGTCAGTGTTCGGATAAGGTTTTGTGGTCCGGAGCCGGCCAGTGTAACGACCTTGGCAACTTGCCATTCCGTTTGAGTGTGAGNAGTCGTGTTCATGTCTCACTGGACCACTTGGTTCATGTCGTCTGTATTTTCCTCTCTTGCAGATTATCAGTTCACCCTCTTCACGGAGAACCGCCTGTCTGTCGACGGTTCCAGCCCACGCCTAGACTCGGCCCACTTGCGGTTGTCTGGTGTATTCGTTTACGGGGGACATCCTGCGGCACACCCGAGCCAAGCATCTTACACCAGTTTTTGAATGTTGGATTCACCTTATTGCCCTGTTTTCGTAGCTCATTGAGAGATAAGGAAATTTAATTGCTTTTTCTTCTTTCGCGGGCATGCGTGTTCCCTATACTATCCGTGTTGGTTTTATTGTTTTTTGTTAAAATGACACCAAGTCTTGGTACATGCAATGCCAGTCTTTTATATGAGAGTTCCAAAAAAGATACAGTTCGGTTGGTGCCGGGTGCGGTTCCGTTAAATGCGAAATGTCCGTAGTATCTATCTCTAAAGTGGATATGCAAGTAGTGCGTTTCCCTGCCGGATCCACGTAGGAAAACTGGATATTCGTCTTATTTCAGGGAGGAAATGGTACAGACCATTTCTGTCAGTGCTATCCTTTTATAAATTTTACATCTGGTTTGCCTTTTATTGCTATTATCATATTTTTGTTCCACTATTAGACTTTTAAGTAGGTGACTTGTTCTTTTTTAATGTACTACTCATTGGTAGCTGATTTAAAATTGCATAAATTCCTTAAGAAGGGGGGGGGTGCATGTATTCGTAACGTCCGCCAGATAATCACCAGATTTGTGTGTTGTCTGCAAGTTTTTTTGCATTTCAACAATTTATATGCAATTTTCCCGGAAGATAATAGTTTTGTACAGCATCACATCCTTCGAGATTAGGTTCAAATGTCGAAAGTTTTAATGCTGACCTCTGGGAATATCACTGTCCAATATTCTTCGAGTGCTTTTCAAGTCTTCAAGTAGAAAGAGCAGTGGGAAATCTGTATTAGCCCCATCACAGTATGCTCCACTGGGATGACTCGATGCCGACACCAGTCCAACACCTGCATAGCTCTGTCGAGTTTCAATGTGAGTATACCGTCATTTGACTCTTCCACCACGTCCTCCGGTAACGTATTCTAGCGATTTGGTACCCTCCTTGACAGACGATAGACCGTTTGATTGCATCTTGCGGAGCGTCAGTGCACGTCCCCCGATGCGGTTGTTGTTTCTCAAGGGGAATTCTGACCGTAGTTCGGGGCCAAAGTCTCTGAATGATGTCTGGCGTAAATCAGGTGGCCTCAGTCGTCTGTATACCCCGTTGCAATCAGTCTGTCTTCATAGCTGATCCCACGTGATCCTGCGACGAGGCGTGTAGCAGCCCGTTGAACTTTCTCTCATTGTGCATCCGCAGAAGCCGTACAGGTAAAGAACGCTGGGCCACCATGTTACAATTGAGGATGTAAGTGGGAGGCAAACAGGCACGTGTGAGCAGTCCAGATTAGAGGGTCAATTGTCGTGACAGCATCAACCTTCTCCGCATATTTACGTTTCCCATATTCGGACCGTGTTTTTCTATCAGACAAAGACCACCTAGTTGGTCACGGCTCATTGACTTTCACTTCCTGCACGCCTACTCACCTATACGCTTCTTTCTATTCTACAGATAATACCAATAAAACTATCGTTTTGGTGTTATGGTACCAGTCGTTCTCTTTTTTGTTTGTTCCTTCGTCCGTTGCTCGACTTGCGTATTCATGGACATCATTCTTCTAACCACTAAAAAGAAGAATGGTGGAGGGTACTCAATATAATCCACGTAGAAACATAAGCCCTTTCTATATATGCAATGGTTTTTATTTTGATGGTAACGAAAACACCCAAATCTTGTGCCTCATTTATCGGATTGTCGTTTACTACAGTGATTTAACCAATTCCAGCACCAGGAGTCGAAGAAAATCCGTTTGAACAGTGAAAATCGCTGTTCTTACCACAAAGATCCAGATCCGTGCACGCGACTTGATGGAAATTAAATGAGTTCAACCGTTGTTGTCACGTAGTCCGACGCACATCGTGCTGCGCATGAGTTAGGTAAGCAGGTGTTGTGTCCCGTGGAAGCAACAAAGTGAGTAAGCGGTAAATTTAGTAGTTATTCTGTTTTTAATACGTAAATGCATCTGGTCCATAGGCTGATGAGCAAGCAGTGCGTCACCACGCAGACTTTCCAACGACAGCATCAAGTTTTCCACCCAACTTACAATCTTCCACTCTTTAAACGCCGGATCAATAAACTGGATCTTAAGTGAATGTTCCTCTACTCTCCCCTTTACAGTATGCTATTTGCCCATGGGGACTTCCCCGTTTACTGTAATTCACCTTATGTAATAAAAAAAAGTGTCACACGACATCTGAATGCGGTCAAGCGGGCATTCAAACAGTCAACGAATCAATTCGCGTAGACAGTCCAATACTAACACCTTTTGGCTGGAGCCGATCGATATTGCTATGGAGTCAGTACGCATGGCGTGAGTGCGTGCGTGTGGTAACAGGCAGCATCTGGTAATCAAGCAATCTGGCCACAGGCATGCAAGATAAATGTATTGCAGGCCACAACAGTAGGGTGCATAAAGCCTAACGTGACTTAACTTGACACTAGATGAAGCGGAGTCGGAGGCGAAACAGAAGACAATAGGCAATAATTTCCCCTCTTCTACTCAGTTTCTTCGCAGACTTGGTCCATCCGAAATCGATGTATATTGGTACCGTTTCCAGCTCTAAATATTCCCTTTACTCCATTCAAATGGGCAGTCTAAACCGGTGCAAGATCAGGGGTTGCATTTGCCACACTGAACTGGCGGTATTTTGCAGTTTGGAAGAGTGAGATTTAATCATGGATGCCTTGAAGAACCATCTCTGCAAAATTTTAAACAAAAGACTCAAAGCGATTGTTATTCTAGGAAAAGTCACGAAATTCGTTCTTATCGTTGGTAGTCACCATTTATTTTCTATCCTCTCGCAGTGTGTCTAAAGTTGATTTTTTCTTCCGATTCAGACTCCTTCATTTTCATACCTCCCACTTCACAAAACCTAGATTAACCCTGCACTTTTATATTGCAATCTTGTGTGGTATGGCGCTTCGTTTTTCTCTTTTTTTTGCTATCGTTAAGGGTAAGGCCATTCGTTTCAACAGAAGCACATCCCTAACCTGTTTCACGGTTGCTTGCTTACTATCTAACAGTCGATTCCTTAATCTCAGTTTATCGCAATTACCTTCTTGCTCAACCAAATTTATCTCTGTCTCCCCTCCTCTATTGGGTTTTAAAAGGCATGAGTGTCTGCTGATAGCATCTCGTCTGCGAATGTGGCATGCCACTAAATGTGGTCATTTTTATTTGCCTACTCACTCGGTTAGGTCAAGGTTTTAGGGGAGCCCGGTGATTTAGTCGTCGTCACCAGCGTGCATGCATACACAAAATGAAAATAATTGCATACTGCATCACGACGAGACTGCACCTTGGCGGGGTGTGATGGCTTGCGCACCTCAATGACCCTGCGAGCTATACAGGATGGCTTCTCAGCCGCAGATCCAATCATACCTGAAAGGTCAACGGGTAGAGGCCAGACGAGGATCAGTCTCACAAGGCCAGCTGTTTGGGCACCCCCTGGCTTCCTTCTCTATTCACACAGGCCCCTGGAGAGGTCACTCCAGTAAAAAACACGGTGAGGGGCAGTTTACCGGTCAAAAGAAAACCGTTAGGTGGACGTGGAAGCGGGGTACCTGGGGCTTCCTCTCGACGGTGGGTGAAGTCTTCGAACTGTCTATTTCCTTTTCTCACCCCCATACCTTGAGAGATGCATCCTGTTTGCGCCACCTATCGAATACCAATCAGTGTTCAAGTAATGAGGTCAACTACTCAAAAACTGTCAGATTTTTGAAGCAAAAATCTCCTTTCCACTTATCCGCACTTAATGTCCACACACTCTATCAGATTGGCCAACAAGCCACCTTAGCTAGAATCCTCACGCTTCACTCTCCGTGTGTCAGGCGATTCGATATCCAAAGCTCGAGGTGTTGTTGGTGTTGGGATTGCGCTCAGTGTCAAGGCCGAGCGTTCACTTCTCGATTGGATCCCGGTTAACAGCCGACTTGGCGCCATACGTCTGGGTGGTTCAGTACGAATCAACAGCTACAGAACGAAACGTCGATATTCATTCGTCGTAGCCGCCTATGCACCTACATATTGCAGTATCTCAGAAGTGAAGGATGAATTCTACAAGGACCTCTCTCAACTGCTCGAAGTGCTGGGTCCACGGACATCGTGGTGGTCGCTGGAGACTTCAATCATCATCATCATCATCATCATCATCATTGTACAGCGTAATACAGTGAAGCGAACCTCACTGATCGCTACCAAACTCATAATGCATACAAAATAAGTGAGAATGTGTAAGGAGGACAGGGATTGGGCCTATTTTTAGGGACGGGAAAAGAAAGTGAACGTCTATGGTCAACACAGAGTACACAGCCCAACTGTGCATACATACTAGTTCAAGCATTTTGGACTGATAGGAAGTGACAGGATGGTCGCCATTGCTGTCGGTTCGCAGCCATGACCTTCAGTGTCTCCAATCATGCGGTTTCGGACCCCAACCCGGAAGACGAGAGACACCTACTCTACCTAATCGCTCTGTGCATTTCTTCATATCTAGTCCCCACGTCATCTACTGGCCTCCACGCGGCTCTCTCCAGCCTGTAACCGCCACTGCAAATGAGGCGCGCTGCAGTAGGCGACCGTCGGAGATACGCAAAACGTGTCCTAACCAACGGAGCCTACTGAGCTAGATTCGATGAGATGGCGAGTTCTTGTTCGATGCATTCCCAAACACCCGACGACTTACTCCTAAGTTACTAACCCACTCACTCCCTTGTACTTGGGCCAAACTACGTAAGCATCAATTGTCGAAAGCTGGTAAACGACGCGTGTCTTCTAACCGCAAATTCAAGGTCTCACAACCGTAAAGCAGAACTGATCGTACAGTGGCTCAGTATACGCGACGTTTCAACTTTAGTGACACGTCACGTCGCCGCCCGAGGTGTTTTAGTCCTGCGTACGCTGCTCGAGCTTTGGAAATGCGGGCGGTTATCTCCTTTGATGCGCTACCGACGTTGGTCACGCAGCTACCTAAGTACGAGAAGCAGTCAACCTCAGGTAATTCCTGACCGTCTAGATTTAGAGTGGACTTTTCAGCGAACTTTGTTTCGGCATCAGGCTACAGACTAGAAGTGCCCAAATTATTTTTCACCTACGTGAATCGTGTTACTGATATTTCGGAAACAAGCTCCTTAATACTGAATTATATTATATATATCATGACCAATTTGAGAATTACCGTCTTCCTTTTACTCTTTCATCCAAATGGGAAGTCATGAGGCAGCAAACAAAACGAGTGCACGAAAGTGCATGTTAAATGGTTGTAAAAACTGAATTGAACAATGACTCTTGGAGGGAAATTTGGTTCTGAATTCGGCTGTCGAAGAAGTTTGAGAATATACCGCAGTGAGTTTGACAAAATCTTTTCTTAGAACTGTCACCCTTCTCTTATACACCAGAAGCTACGATTTATCTGAAGCTATACGATAAGATGGCTGGTGAACGTCACATATGCTCGCTCTTTTTCGCACTTGAATTTTTACCCGATCCCCTGTGAGTGCATGCGTCATTCTTGTTCACGACTCGTGACTTGTACAGTTTTAGTTCCGAATTCATCTGTTTGAACCAAAAAATCTAAGATTGACACACTGGTCTTAGTTACATTTTTTCTAAGTGACCGTGGACCCTGTTGATCAAGACACATTAACTGTGTGTGTGTGTGTGCAAATGGTGAACTTGAATTAATTCACCCGCTCATCCAAACGCACGTGTGTTTAATCAATAGAAATGCTGGTTGAATCCAAGGCACCGATCAATGCATCATTCCAATGTCCAGTATGCTCACAGTCTTCATGACTGTAGTCAACGGACTCTGATATCGTGTATTACTGTTTCTTTTTTCTGTTTTCTGTTGTCAATCAAGAATATGAGGTTTTACATCTAGGCTTCGAGATCTTCAGTCCTATTTTAATTTCAATTACAAATCTCAGACCAATTCATGAATTCCTTTTTGATGTCTTAGATAGTTCTTGAGGTTGATATTCATCTCGCGTGTACTGTTATATCTACTAATCGCTCCATTGGTACCAACGCTATGAATTCTGAATTTTTTACTTACACACACGGCAGAAAAATCCTCAAAGCCTAGGGAATAAACTCGAAACCATAGTCATCGGAGTTTTACACTAGATTGCAATCCTCGAGCCAATGCGGTACCCTCAAAAGCGTGCTAATGATAACTGTTTAAAAGTCTACTTCTGTTCAATCTTTCAAAGCCTTTCGTAGGTTCTTCCAATTTAGAATATCTTCTGCCTCGTTCATCCATCTGTGAAGTCTCTAACGTTTTCTATCAGATTCATATCCCGTGAGTTTGCCGGTCAAAGAAAGAGTGGGGAGAGAGAGACGACTCTTCGATGTAGTGTAAACTTCTGCAACATCCGACAGCAACGTTGTCTGACGTTTTCCTTCTGCAGGATACATATTTTTATATCTGAGGGGGCAGATAGTTGTTCAGGGTCGAGCGTTAACGAGACTTTGTAGCGTGTCCAGTCAACAGAATCCGGTTAATTTGTTCAGTGGGATTTCTTCACATGGAGAGTGAACTGAAAAGCTAAGAAGCACCGGACAACTGTTTCGACCTGGTTGGGTCGATGGATTCACACTGCTAATGAGACCCAACCAGTTCGAAACAGCTGTCCAGTGCTCCCTAGCTTTTCAGTTCAAGTTTCATTTGCCCTTTATACGACAAACTTCCCCATATGAATATTCATTAATTCATCAATTTCTCTTCTACGTTTATGTGCGAGGTTATCAGCTCCTTTCGGTCCACAAGTTCCCGGTACACGGCATCAGTTTTTTAGTCTTATTTCCGTCATAACAAGTCAAGATTGCAGAACATTCGTATCTTCTCTTCTTCTTGCGAGACGGAATTTATGGCATAAACTAGCTTAATATTTTGAATCGTTTGCGTGCAGGCTTTGGTGGACAACCTGGTCGACGGCAAAGATGTTGAATGGGGTGAAGGTGAACCACCACTGGTTGACGATGATGATGATGATATCAATGCACAAACCGGTTTGGAGAATCGCATATCCCGACTACCCGAACCGGAAATCGACATGCACTGGCATATTTCTCGCTATATTCCGGAAACACGTGGTCTTCGTACGAAATTCCAAACTTTATTGGCCGGCTATTTACTGACTGTTTACAATGCTGTACGGGACGAGCATCGACGGATTCGTGGATTGACTGTTTTTTCTCAGTTGGTGAGTTATCGTTCACGTACACGCATTTGATACCCGGATTGAGCTTTCTGTGATTATAATTGGTCCGTATAATCTGTATTAGAAATTTCTCATCACTCTCTCACACAAACTGGGTTTATGGGCACTATTCTCTAAGCCAACGGTTTATAATTTTTTATCTGCGTAAATTTATTTTTTCGCTTATATTCGTGTTCCAACTAGCTCCGTAAACGGTAAACAGCGTCCTTGGGCTTGTTGTCCCAATTGAAAGAATCAAACGACGGAACGCTGCATCGCTTGAACGTTTTGATCTAATTTATTTGCTAACGATAAACTGTTCATTTTAACGTGCTTTCACATAAAAGCTTGATTTTTAATCTAAGTAAAAATGAATATGTTCCTCTAGCCCGGGGGCAAATATGCGTGCTTGGTGCCTTTTCTTTGTTTGTGCGTTAGAGAACGGTCACCAAAATGGTGGCTTGTGGTGAATAAGACAAACTTTTAACAAATAGCCGCAGAAACACCCATAGATGTAAATGGTTTCACTTGGTCATTATCTTCACTGTAAAACATCGCACGTCCGACGGCTGTATCTAATCCGCCACAAATGATGCCATTCTCCCTTGTCCCGTTCCATCTAGCAGACAGAACTTTGCAAATGAAGCAAATGAACTAAACTACTGACCATCGGCTTATTCCCAGTGATCCTCTAATAGATCATTCGGTAGATGTGAATGCAACCCATGGATCCATGCTTTCCTGTTAGAGCAGAACAGATTTTATTTACAGTCGTTGGATCAGGTATTAGGGAGTGACAATCTTGTCACACAACATGCTATACCGTCGTGGATTTGAGATATCGGCTCCTCTCGACCGGATTTAGCTCGCTTATCGATCGGGGTGTGGCCGCTGGTGC